CAGAGCATGAAGAGAAAAAAGCAAGTAAGATATTCTGTCTTTTTTGTATTTTGTGAAGTGGCAGTGTAGTTTCGAAACTGTTTTCTCGTGCGATTTTTTATTACAGCGGATGGAAGCGACCCACCACATCGGATCCTACTTGATGCCGCGGCTACTGTCACTGAGCGTACGGCTCCCCAGATGCCTTCGCCAAGAACGCTGACATGTACCATACGAAAGCGGAGATGAAAACGTTAGAGTCAATACGTTTTCCCCAAACTGCGAGAAGACATAATTATATACCCAGACGAGTACAAGGTAATTCAAGTCTTTGTACCATATATTCCTATTGAACTACCCAATTCATCAATTTAGAGCAATACGTTTTATATATTTTTCCAGGTGTCGGGGCTACACGACGAGCCCTTTCTTGTTCATGACAGCGGTTCTGGTGACAAGGCGCCTTCTGGTTTTGGGTACACCGAAATTTTTTTAGCGCCTTTCTTTTACGAGAGCATGGTTAATGGACGGGACTTTCAAGGTCACGCCGTCGCTATTCTACCAGGTGTACACGATGCATGGTCTGTACCATGGTGCCGTGATCCCGCTTCTGCACGCTTTGCTTCCGAACCAGGAGGAGAAAAGCGCAGATTGCATGGTTCGAGTTTTCGTATATCGCAAACTATAGCATCACTTTCATTCCGTTTTCAGACTCTTTTCAGTGCTCTCCGGCTTCATGTCAAGTGTGGAGGTCAAGGTAATCTACTGCGACTTCGAGGCGGTCGTAATTCCAGCTTGAAAGTAAGCGATAATCATATTGATACTCTAATACTTTATTCGGCTTACCATGTCATGAAGCCTCCCAGAAAAATGGGTTCCTCTTTTGGAACGTCATATGCTGTAGACTATTTTCACAAATTCGTAGTATTATCGAACCCGCGATCACCAGGACAATCTTTAAACGCCGAATTTTCAATTCGTTTATTAGCTCTTCTACGTGTTCTCATTACTTATTTCAGATAATCAATACGATTCGTTTATCTGCATATTTAATTATGATCTTATACATACGGTGCACAAGCAACCAGTTCTCTGGCTGCCTCTTTTCTTCACTTGCTAAAAAAGTTTTGAAAATAAAAATACATATGGTCACAGAATAACAAGGGTGCCTGTCAAGCCAATACAATATTCCACCGACGTATATGCCAATAAGTATTGTCTTTTCTAGATGCTTCCCAACCTCTGGGCCTCCCTGAGGTGTCGTAAGGATGAACAAGCACTACAAGAACTGAAGATGGCCCAGCTAAACGCGGGACAACCGCCGCCGCGTCCCGCACAAGAATATAAGGATGTGAATGAGCGCATATCTAAAGTTCTAGAAAAGTCCTTCACCGGATCTCCTTTCTGCACACTTCGAAATATTGCTAGGAATATCCGGTTTTGACTTCAGTGATGTAATGGCCCGCGCAAGCTCAATAAGATCGCGTTTGTTGTTTGCTCTTTCTAAACAGTATCGTGGCATCTAGGTATATTTATTTCAATGTCAGCGCTATGTTTCGATCACAGCAGCCAGCACGGTGCGTTAAATAATCCACAGGAATAAACAGAAGTAAATTCGCAATACAGTCAAACTCCACGCCGTGACACGAGTGTTCCTTGTGACGATAATTCCGGCGCGACGACAATTCCTCCTACAAAATGCCCTGTGACGAGTTGGCCTCCTTGACGAGCTCACCTGTGACCAGTTGGCCTGAGACAACCGGGCTTGTGACGAGTTCTCCTACCAGCACGAAAGCACCCGATGTCAAAAGCCCCGTGCCAAATACCCCGCGGTAGACATCCCGAATTTTTTGCCCCTCTTTCAAAAGCCCCAGTTTCAGAAGCCTCTGACAGGAATACCCCGTGTCAGGTGGCCGAGTCCTCAACATGATCGGCGGGGCATTCTTTTTTTAACTAAGAGACACGAAGCGTGCACATGAGCTTGTGTAGCATAATCATGCAACCCCGGGATTCAAATAAGGAACAACTAGATAAAGCTTCCCGCCTTGAGACGTTATAAATGAAAACACACGGAAAACATTAGTCACTCAAAAATATCGAAATTTACAGTTTTTATGAAGAAGTATTGAACCAAAGCTTTCGTCGACTCTGAAGCACGAGCGGATTCACAGTTTCGACGAAGTGGGTTCCTCTCAGGCCCATACTTATTACGTACAGTGTGCTCAACTGCCAAATATAACACGGGAGCGGTGGCCGAAACTGATGTCAGAGCTGTCTTGCGATTAAATCAATGACGCGGCGGAGAATCTTACGATCGTCGTCGCTGCACGATAAAATTATCGCACGACCTCCTCGTTTCTTTCTCTGTCACCCACGCTTTAAACTTTCACTTGTTTGTTTTGTTGTTTTTGACACCTACGCGTTTACCATATCTCGGTGATCTTGCAGTTTTTCTGAAAAAGGCCACCTTCTTTATGGGAAGGCACTACCCAGAAAAAACAAAATTCTGCAAAAAACGTTGATTTTGAAAATTGCATATTTACATCCACCAACATCTAGAGAGTATTCCCAGAAATTTTCACTAGTTTACACTGCATAGTTAATTTTTGTAAATTATTTTCTGTCCATCGAGGCTAAAGAAAATGTGGAGTTTGGAGCACTTTGAACGCATTTTTCTCCGCTCCACTTTATGGTATAAATTCCATTTTAGTCAATCTATCGTTTGATAATTGCAATACGGGGAAGGCTCGTTCTTTACTTTTCCTGACTGAAATTTAGTAAGGATGCGGTGATGAATTTTTTTTCTCACCTTTACGGGTCTTTTATAAAAACAAAAAAATGTTGACACTTTATCGTCGACGCAGAACACTAAAAAGTTGACCAATTTCGATGAAGAGAAGATTGATAAAACATTTTTACAAAAACCTTTTCATAGCCGCACTTCCTAGGCAATCTGCTACATATCTAGCGAATAAAAATCTTGAATATTGTGATAGTTTTCCGACGATAGATTAACTAACCAATGAAGGCGTGTTGCTGATAAATGCTGCCCTGATTTCTTTCCCACTTCCGATTGGCCCGCCAGGGCCGTAGCTTCCGCTCTACTGCCACGTTACGCGATCACGGCTTCCTGGGATACCTAGTATTTCTGGCTTCAGACACTAGGCTAAGCGGCGCCACCAGAGTAAAAGCTCACGTTTGAACAATGCAGCCGCCACTCTCAGGGGTACCCAATATTTCTTGCTTCAGTCGCTAGATGGCGCCAAACCAAACAGCATTGCATACATTGCATAAGACCTTTTCATCTCAGTAGTTACCCGACCGGCGGATAGAGAGCACTGGCGCACTCGCCGCCATTGGGTGACTTCAATTTGATTGGTTTCGGTTTCAGCGCGCTCGTGGCTGTGTTTACGTGTTATGTCAGTTTCGCACAACTTTGTGATACAAATGTGTCCGTTATAGCAAACAACTGATAAAACTCTGTTACTTAGCCAATTTGAGAACCACGAAGTGGTTTCGGATCATATTCGCTGACCTTTTTACGGACACTTTACGATGCATCTGGTCATGTTCGTCGTTAATTTCGATCAGGTTCGGCGGCGAAACGACTATGATGCATAAGGAGGATTCCAATCGTCTGTGGCCGTGCCCACTGAACCTAGTTTTCATAAAAATGAACTAATAAAGAGACTATTGAGTAGATGTATAACAAAAATGCAGGTCCACAACCTGATTAAAAACATCCTGAATCGCGAAAAACACATGAACTCGCCAGTTCACTGCTCACAGTCCGATTTTCGCGGACACCAGCTTTTTGTAAACTTCAGAGACTCGAAATGCATTATATAATAACGCAGATATTCTACGAAATAAGTGATACTGTCTCGGGCTGGTCTTCTTTAACGAAATGAAGTTCTCGAGAACTATTTCGATGGTCCGTCCTATGTCGGGTGGGAAATTCCTTTAGCTACTGTCCCTGCTAAAGTACTTATTAAGAGCATTTCACAAAGTTGGCGTTGGAAAATGAGCTATTTGTATTACTGACATTTGATTACGACGTCCTTGGCACATAAAATAAGTGACAGGCCCCTCAATCGAGGTCTCAAATATTATCTTTGTATAAATTTTGCCAAATAAAATTAAAGGATCCCAGCGAACTGATCTTTCGTACGTTTGACTGAAGTCGAATACTAGGCATGACTGCATGAATCTGTATAGACAGATCTCCATTGAAATTAATGCGATCTAGAATTAACAACGCTAAAATCGCGTGATTTCTATATATATGGCTTCTTTTCGGCATAACATAATGTGAGCCCTAGGCACTCATTTTTTGGTCTATATGTGTTCAAAGGAGCAGTATCACATCGAACATACCAATATCTTGTTAAAAAAGTCACGAAAGGGAATTTTAAAACGAATTAAACGATTAGCAAAGAGCACCTGGTGGATGTCGCTAACGCCTCGCTTGTAATGCCCGTCTAGGAACCTTGACAGCTAGTGACGGAGGTTGTCTCGCCTCCGGCCATGACGAGAGAAGAAGGGCAGGAGGAACTCCCTTCTTCCCGAGAATGCCTTTTGTGTGTCGCAGAAGTCGCTATTGTCCCCCTACAAGATTACAGAAGATTAACCCGTCACTCAAAATTCGTACAAAAGCAGCCGCTTCGGTGGCTGGAACGACTAGGCCATCCTCTCGACGTCAGCCTCGCCGTAGCTTTGCTGGTCTTGAGACGACCTACGTCACGATTGCGTTGGATGTCACGTGGTCTCCGCTGGGCCTTCTCCAAGCGCTTGCCAGAGTGGGCCGTTTATAACGAAAAATACAGCCGCCAGGCTCAAAATACAAACGTGCGACTGTCATTTACAGATATTGGGGGTCATATTCAACCTATGTTTGAATACGACGGGAATATTTCAAATTTCGTTGAAGTATCCCTTTAAGCTGCCCGTGACAGTTCTTTCTTTTCCATAGGGGTCTTTGTGTTAATATAATTAAAATAAATATATTAAATTTAGTGTTAAAAAATGTAACACCCTTTAATGACTGCAGATATGGAACCGAACATATGGTAAAGTTCCTCTAAATTCATAAATAAATCAAGCAAACGTTTCTATTGCAAAACCCTTTAAGAACGTCTAGCAGATTAGGTGTAATGTCGTGAACAAAACAAATCACCTGGTGTGGACGTTATCATTATCCAGAGCATCAGAATAGATGTGATTTAAACGTTTCTTACTTATCTCTTATATATCCCATATAATCAAAAACAACTTTAAAATATGTTATGAAGGCAAGGCAGGAGACTTTCAGGAAACACACATAGCCTCATATGCTGAGTATTTTGGTCAGATTCCTTAGGATCCTAAGTGCGCGGATATACATTGCACTCTACTTATTTCGAACATGCCGCCACTATCACAAACTTCAGTTGTCATAAATAATTGGGCTTAAAATGCGCCAGTGCTGACGCTGATTTTTGTACCTCCTCCCTTCTCGCACATATCCGGTAAAATTAAACTGCAGATGTCGTCGTGCACATTATTATGGCATGCAATTAAGTTGTAAATGTAAGCATCGGCCGGCGATTTACAATAAAGCGAGAAACGCGGTGAAAAGCGACAAAAAACGCGAATGCAACGCCTTAGGCAAAGCGCGGAGGGGAGAGTGTGGGGGGGGGGGGGGGGGGGGATGTGGTGTATAAAACGGGAAAGGGGGTTTAATGGCTATGCGAAATGTTATTCTCCAGGCAGGAAAAAGACTCGCACAGCCAAAGGGGAGAGGGAGGGAAAGATGTGGATTGAGATGGGTTGAATAAAATATTTTAGCAGTTACTAGGGGAAAGCGCCAATCAAATCATTTGTAGGGTAGAGGGAGGGGGGGGGGGGGGGAGGGGGCAAAGCGTTGCTAACACACGGCTAAAACATTGTTCAAAGTAAAAGTTCGATAAAACGCCCAAGTGCCAACAGTCGCTCAATCGCTCTCAACATTCGGTCAATTGCACAAGTACAGCTCGTCGCCGCGAAGCGGCGACGAGCTGAACCTGTGTAACATGTCGCGCCGCCGCGAAGCGGCGTCGAGACTTGTGTTTCACAGCCGCAGTTCCGCAGTTCTGCCACAACACAGTAACGTTCACTGGAGTTTTGCATCATTGTCATGTCGCAAACGTGTGACGAGATCTTTACCGGTTTCCGAATTGCGCGCGGCAGTTAGAGGCGGTTTGAAATCTCAATCACATGCGCAAACTCGAGCACTGCACGGAATATGACCCGCGCCCGTTGCTTGCCGCCAGTAGGAAATAGCAGTTCCTTTGTCTTGGACGCCTGTGCCCCTGTCGCCCTTACCGAAGCTAGTAATGTTTTCCGTGCTTTCTCGTATTCCGGGCAGTGCCATAGTATGTGATCGATGTCTTCAACGTCCCCGCACGCAGTGCAGTCAGCACTGCTTCTCTGAGACGTCCTTCCAAAGCGATGCAATGTCTTCCTCGTGAACGCGCTATTAGTTCGGAGACGATGCAAAAGCGTTGCGTCTTTCCGCGTCAGTTTAGAGGTTGGGACTGGTACAGGACCTTCTCCATTGGCTGTTCCGGGATCGGGGTGTCTTTTCCTGAGATCGCGTGCGATGAGAAGGCGCGCCTCGTGGAATCGTCGCAGGTTGTGCGTGGTAGTCGATATGCTGTGTGCCCTTGTTGCCAGGGTATCTGCACGTTCATTTCCAAGAATTCCGCTGTGGGATGGCACCCACTGAAATACCAGTCTCCATCCGTTGTCCTCTAGCTTTGTTGCTATGTGTGCAGCCTCCTGGGCGATCAAGGGAGCGTGCTCGGGGTTGGCGATGTGAACTAGCGCACTTCGAGAATCGGTTAGTATCACAGCCTTACCGATTTCAGGACGTTCCTGCAGTGTCGTAAGTGCCAGAAGAATCGCAACCGTCTCCGCTGTTGTAGAGGACGTCTCGATGTTTAAGAGAACCGCACTTTCAGTTGATATTGCGGGGATCGTGTATGCCGCGGTTGCAGTTCCTCTCTTCTTGTCAACTGAGCCGTCTGTGTAGACCTCAAGATGTTCAACGTATTCATTTTCGAGAGCCACTGCGACAGCTGTGCGGGCGACAGTTGGGTGAATATCTTTTTTCCGAGGCAGGTCTGGAAGTGTTTCACGCACGTCTAGCGGTGGGCGTATGGAGTGTGGGGGACGTGAAGAATATAAAACTCCAGGGCTTCCGATGTTACGCTGAAATTGTGCAGCTAGTTGACCAAGATGCGACGATGGTCGTTTCAGCAGGTTGGCAAGAAAGTACTGTGCCGACGGGGTCGTGTGCATTCGCACTAGGGAATGCATTGCCACTCTTTCCTCTCGTAGGATGATTGGCTCTTCTTGTGCCTCCGTGAGCGTTGCCACGTTTTTCGCGTATGGGGGAAGTCCCAAACAGAGTCGTAAAGCGACACGGTGAAAACGTTCGAGCGCGTCTAGCTGGGGTCGCCTGATATTGACGAATGGTAGTGCGTATAGGAGCTTCGATTGGAGAAGACCTTTGTAGAGTGTCAGCAAACCATCCGGTGGGATACCTCTCTGGCCGTATGCACGGAAACTCCGGAGGACGCCCAAGAGCTGTCGACACTGTCCTAAGAGTCTTTTCACTGCCGGCCGCCATGTCGCGAGGTCATCGATTAAAAGGCCCAGGTAGAGGTGGGACCTACTCCTTGCGATTTCTACGCCGTCGAGTGTAATTTTGACGGTCTGTCGCCGGCTCCTGTTGGTGTAGAGGAGAGCGGTCTTTGAAGCAGATAATGTCAGTCCCAGACGAGAAATTTCTTTTGCTGTTTTATCCAGAGCAAACTGAAGAATTTGCCCAGTCATCTGTGCCTGGTTGCTTAACCCAACCGACCAAATTGCGACATCATCCGCATAAATGGCGATGCTTGTCCGTGGCGTAAGTGGATATGTCATTGGCGGAAGCACAGCAGGTAGTGACGCCATTGCCAAATTGAAAAGAAAAGGACTTATCACGCTGCCCTGCGGTACTCCTTGGGTCACATATCTTGGGGCACTTGTTGTTCCCCGGACGTTTACAATAAGGGTCCTGTTTTGAAGAAATGCACGGATGTAAGCGTAAGCTCTACCTGCGATGCCGAAGAGAGTGAGTTGGTGGAAGATGGTGGCATGAGGTAGAGCGTCGAAAGCCTTGTGGATGTCCAAGAAGGCACAGTACATCGTTTTCCCAGCAGCCCGCGCTTCTTCCAAAGATGTTGCTACTTCTCCTATGGCGTCGACCGTAGAGCGATGTGCCCTGAAACCAGACAGTTGGTCAGGAAGTGTCTTGTTGGTGCCAAGTTGCCACGTGAGCCCAGGTAGCACAAAACATTATAATAACATTATTTTTTTGTTGTGTAAGTTGAAATAACGTTTTGTGTTAGGTGTAAATGTTACGGCAACGTTCAAATAAAACACTCAACGTTTTAGGTATGTTATCAATGTTGGTGTAACATTCAAATTAAACATATAACGATAATGTTGTGTACGACACATTATAACAACATTCAATACATAACTGTAAAGCAATGTTGTGAGCACTAACATTAATGTAACATTTAGTAACATTATGCTCCTAACATTATTCTGAAGTTTACAATGAAACATAGTAACAGTGAATGGAGAACCATGAAATAATGTTGCAAGAAGTAACACTGAAATAACATTTTAACATATATTTCCAATGTCATTTTGAAGCTTACAAGGAAACATAACATTCAATGCAAAATAGTAAATAAATGTTAAATAGTAATACTGAAATAATGTATTGGTTTGATCACATATCTGTTTTTCAAACTTCAAATAATTGTTGCAAATACTTATATTCAAGAAATTGTTTGACAATATTGTTTTTAACATTATTTTGAAGTTCACAATGAAACACAACATGCAGTAACAAGTTATTTATTGGTGTAACATTTTGAAAAGAGTAACATTTTTGCAAATGTTGTAAGAAAATGTAGTACACTATTTTAGTTTCCGATTTTATTGAAATGTAGCGTGAAGGTACAAAAAAATGGCAAGCGAAATGAAAATATATGCTATGATACTTTTTTGCATTTCTTGTCTTTTGCCCTATAAGGATGGAAGCATTTTGATTAAGCTTTTCTGTAGCAGCTGCTAACTCCAAACAATGGAAAATCTTGGATACCTATATGTAGAGCCCTGCATATCCGCGGATTACCTGTGGATATCTGCAGTAAACGGGCGGATGCGGATGAAAATTAAACAAATTTTGGCAGATTGCAGATTGGATGGCAGAGGCTGCGAATATCAGCGGATACGGATTTAAATTTTTGCCCAGCGGCATTCAGTTCGTCGACTGACGTCTCATCTACAAATCGTTTCGTCGAGATGAAACGTTTGATCGAAAGGCTTCTCCTGTTCGTTTCATCGAAAAACCTGAGATGTTTTGTTGCACACAACCTTGCTATTTTTGTAACAAACTTGTTGAGTCTCGCCTGGATTACAGGGGAGAGGGGGGCATGGTTTGGTTAAGCTCGCTAGCTTTTAGCAGCTTGGTGAAGAAATGCGTTGTCGACAAAACATTGCAGCGGCATGTGCCCACAAAACGTACAGCGTCGATGAACCGTTTGTCCATGAAAAGTTGTCCACCGATACATATTTCCACAAAAACGCGTTTCGAAGAAACAATAGGGATCCTAAGAAAGATCTGATTCTCACTGAAGATCGCTTCAGTTAGTGTGTTTCCTCTCGTCAAAAATGCTACCTTTAAAAAAAGTAAAGATTGCAGGGCATCAATTGTCCCAAGAAAGCTAGCACATTGGCAGGGAAAGAGCTGTAACTTTTTCTGGGCAAAGAAAACTTCAAACGTACAAGTCACAAGGAAGTAAAGAAACGTCCCCCTCTTCGCAAAGAGTAGTGTGGTCATGATTAAAAACAAAAAGTGCCTCGACAGCGAGTGCGACCCTGTGGCACCACGGTTTGTAAAGTTTCAGAGTCAACAGCGAACTTGCATAGGCAGACGGTAAACTGCCTCTGTGTTTCTTTTTTGTATGCTTAGAGCCCTAGCCAAAACGCCTGGTAGTTCATGTTCGTCCAATTACGACGCCAGTGCGTCGTAGCCGGACTAATATGAACCTCTATTACTTTTTAATTGTTTAACAGAACTGTAATGTCATATTTAGTATGCCCTTTTTTAACTTTTATCCTTCAAAAGTATGCGTCCGCATAAAATAGGTGTTACAAAGCAAAAAAAAAAAAAAAAACATATATAACCTTTTTGTGCGCTCCTTCTGGGCAGAGTGTCGCGGATTCCTAGGATGATCACATAACTGAGATGATTTTTCCTAATCGCTTTTAATATAAATCCGATGAAACTGATAATGATAAAATGACACTTCCTTTGAATGGCGAGCCAGATTTCTTTGGTACAAAGATAAGCAAACAGCTTAAAAAGTGTCATTTCTATTTTACAATGAATGCCTGGATTGTGAGTCGGATCTGGTTCCACATTTTGCGGATGCGGTTCGGATACGGATACAATAATGTAAAAAGTATGCGGATACAGTTTGGATACAAAGTATGCAGATGCAGATCGGATACGGATACAATAATGTAAAAAGTTTGCGGATACGGTTCGAATACAAAGTCTGCAGATAATTAAACTGTTATCCACGCAGGGCTCTACCTATATGTAAGATCTAAATGAAATGCAGCGTAAAGATACAAAAAAATGGCAAGGAAAATTAAAATATGTGCTATGCTACTTTTTTGAAAGAAAGACAGCCACAAATAGTATGTGCTTGTTTCACTTGTTTTATGTTTCACATTAATAGATTCACTTCCCTTTACCAGGAAGGCCTGAGGGAAGAGGAGGTGATTATATAGACTACGGAGCTTGTGGATAAGTGAAGTGATGATGTGTATCACGAAAGCGCTTTCATCCCTTCTTCATAAACAGTCAGTCTCTCCGCTTGCCAGCTTGATCCTGCTAACGTTTCCCTTGCCCTCTTGAAGTGACCTGCATCACCCTACGATTTACTCCAGAGGTGCCCGAAGGTGGTGGATTAATTACTGAAGTATAGAAACATGTGCCTCTTTAAATAAAAGATTTTTTTTCCTATGAAAATTTTTTTGTCATGCTTTGTTTTTCTAAATGATCAAAAATGAATCTGGGCATTTCTGGTGTTTATTACGACTAAATAAAGAGTGGGATGGGAAGGGAATGAAATTGGCAAACATAATACTTGTTTCATTTGGCCAGAATGAATGTCTGTCCCAAAATAATTAGTTTTTTTTCTTTTCCCTTATTTGAATTAGATAGAAGTATGATATATTTACTGCACTATGTAGGGAATGTACACATGTGTGCTGGTACTGTGGGGAGGCTGGCATCCATGCAACTATGTGTTTGAGGTTCCTTCGCCGTTCACATGTGAACTGAGACAGTACAATCAGGGCAACTCCTGCCCCTCTCGATGAGATCCTGTCTTTCCGGAAGATGCTAAACTTTTGGGTGTCAGCAATTTGTCCTTCGAATATTGTATCATCCAACCAGGTTTCTGAGACCCCAAAGATTGTGTTCGGCGAAGTTTCAAACAAGACAACGAGGTCCGAGTTTGTTCTTGATGGATAGAGCGTTTGTATACCGGATGCCGATGTGTCGCCGCTTCCTCGGTGCGGGAGGAGTACGTCGGTTACTAGCGTCACTCCGTTTTGTGTCCCGGGCGATGGGCCTGGCAGTTTCGTGGGGGGAAGGGGGGGGGGGGGGGGGGGGGGGGGGGGGGGGCACGACACCGGTGGATATGGGTGCGGGGTGCGAGTCATCGGAGGGAGGAAGCTGGCATGAGCCACAAAACCAGTGCCCGGCGAGGAGGCCAAGCATCGGTAGGCGAGTAGCGACAGCCCTTCACACTTCCCATGGAGCCACCAATCACACAGGTCACATTTTAGGGCGGCCACGTTGTTGTAAACCGCTTTCTCGCAGCTCGGGGAGGTTGGCGACGGCCTGGGATTTCGATAGATGTTCCCGGCAATCAGCATGAGTCATGCAATCGGCGCAGTCGTCCAGGCAGGCCTAACCGCGATGAAGCGGATGTCCGCACTTTCAGAAGTGAGAGAAGCCGCCGCGCGGAGTTGAGAAGCATTGTGCACCTCATCGGAGTGTTCCCGGAGCTCGACTCTCTGTAGAGAGGCGACCAGCAGAAGTTGCAACCATGTCCGCAAGCACGTCATCCCTGAAGACTATAATTTTGCTGAAAGGTTCCACCACCGTATTACACATATGTGCGAAATCCCGTCAAATATGCTGAGAAACTGTTTGATGCGGTCTCTCTAAAGAGCCAACGAAACGTTGTAAATCTCTTAGTACAAACACAAAACACGGCAGAGACGAAAAGGGTACCTTTGAACTTGAAGCAAGCCCATGGTCAACACACGCACTGCACCGCACAAAAAGACCATCCGTGTGCGCTACTTTTAGAGCGTTAACAAGCAAAGCAAGGCGTAAATGAGTAAGAATCGTTCCGTAGAACCCGTAGAACCAGATCACAACAGCCGCCATCACAACCCTAAATATACAAACACAGTGCTGCTAGACTTCTTTTCTTTGGTTTTGTGAGTTTGTCGGGTGTGTAAATAAGTAAAGTCTGATGAGTAAATTTATTAATACTATACACTACAGATATTTTCTTCTTGATGTGTTCTACTTTTAAGTCACAAAATAAAATATAATATAATTTATTAACTACAAAATGCATACACGGTTGGTTTAGCCTATTTTAGACCAATGGCTTAGGTTGGCAACATACGTTCCCGCCGGTTCAAGTGGTTCAAGTATGGTTTAAGTTTGGTTTAAGCGGTCTAAGTTTAAGTTTGTATCGCGGCTCGCACAATTGTGGCTCGCACGGTTCTGACCTGACAACCGTGGCTCTGAAACATCGTGAAGACAAGTTCTAGTAGTTACGGTTCGAAGTGCCTAACGGTCAGGCTGCGTAATCCCACTGTGGCACCGACGCACCTGCGTACCCTGCGTGAAACGTAAGTAGCGGTACCTCATTTCCTTTAGTGATGCTGCTCACTTGCTTAACCGACGGGATCTCGCATATTACGTTTGTGGGTATTCCTGTCTCGGGTACCCGAAATCGGGACGGCTCCTTTGGAGCCTTTGGATCCTTTGGAGGTCGATATCTGACCTCAACAATTCCGTCTAGGACCGGAATTCGGTGCCGGTCCTAGACGGAATTCAAGGCGGTGCGTTGTAAGTGGCAGAGCTTCGCTTTAGGGTGCCCATTATTACCTAAACCTCGCACATGCTCGTGAATGTGCGAGGCTGGTTAGGTAATAATAGACAAGAGTAATTATTTGAGGGCTCTACAGTGATTATTATTTTGAAGAGCGAAGCGCTGCCACTATGACCCGGACGAAATCCGGACAAAATTTTCTAGCGCAACCAATGACTATGATAAGTGGGCAACCATGTTCGCCGATTGCGCGCGATTTCGGTTACGCCAGACTGCGCGACTCGCGATGCATGATATCCCTTTGTGATTGAACGGTGCTAAGAGGAAACGATCTCCTGGTTCGTAAAATGAAGCGACAGAGGCGAGCATTTGATGACGTGTGCGACCGACAGAAGAAAAGAATTATTGCCGAAAACGTGCGCGACCATCTTGCGGACATTTTTTCTAAGTCTGCTCCGGACGAGAGCGATGGAAATTCTGCGGTTGACGGATCAGACGACAGCAGTGACGGAGCCAGGGAGGGTCTGAGCGCACCGCAAGTCGACGATCCCAGAGATCCTTGCGCGAGCACATCAGCTTCCGAAGAAACTGAAACTCATTTGCCAATCTCAAGTGCAGATGAGTTTACTTTGGCAAGCGAGCTGGCCACCTGGGCACGTGAGACCAAAGCCTGCGCATCCCATCTTAGCAAGCTTTTAAAGATATTGAAGAAGTATCACCCGGAGCTGCCTAGTGACGCAAGAAGCCTAATGGGGACACCAAGATCTTGCAATGTGAAAAACATGGGAGCGTCCGGCCTCTACCACTATTTCGGAATCGAATCGTCACTAAAACGAATGATGAGCTCAGGCAGCATCACTGGAGACACCATTTCGTTGCTCATCAATGTTGATGGCCTGCCTATAGCGAAAAGTTCCAGCAAGCAGTTCTGGCCCATTCTTGCATCTGTCGTCGAAAGCTGCGATCCTGAACCTTTCGTCATAGCTCTGTTTGTTGGAGACAAGAAGCCGGAGAACTTGGATGACTACCTTACCGATTTCATTTCGGAGTTAAGCACATTGCTGGAAGAACACGTGACCGAGGGCGGAAAGGAGTGCGTAGTTCGAGTGCATGCGTTCATTTGCGATGCGCCCGCAAGGGCATTTCTGAAGTGCATCAAGGGCCATGGGGGATACTTCAGTTGTGAAAAGTGCACCCAAGAAGGCACCTTCTCTGAAAGCTGCCGGAAAGTAATTCTTCCAGAAGTCAGCAGCCCCCTACGAACAGACGAGTCGTTTCGAAAGCAGGATCAGGAAGGGCACCATCATCGACAGTCCCCATTGGTCGAGCTACAGATTGGCATGGTAAGCCAATTTCCCCTCGACTATATGCATTTAGTCTGCCTAGGCGTTATGCGGAGGCTTCTACTTCACTATTGGGTGCGGGGACGACCTCATCGATCAAAGCTCCCACCACGTGCACAGACTAGCATCTCAACAATGCTCATGAAACTCCAGAGACACACCCCTCGGGAGATGGCTCGGAAGCCCCGGAGTCTTCATGAATTAGAGAGATGGAAGGCCACTGAGCTACGAAACTTCCTCTTGTACTTCGGTCCTGCGGTTCTAAAAGACCACATGGAGAAGCGCTACTACCAGCACTTTCTCAAACTGAGCATTGCAGTGTCAATCCTGTCAAGCCCACGACTCTGCCATGAGGAGATTGATTCTGCAGAGAAGCTGCTTGAAGAGTTTGTTTCTGATGCTGGGGACCTGTACGGTGAAGGCATTTACGTGTACAACATACATTCTCTGCTGCATCTTACTGCTGATGTGCGGAGGTTCGGTCACCTTGACTCCTTCTCTGCGTTCCGGTTTGAGAACTTTCTGGGTCAACTGAAGCGAGATTTGAAGTCACCAAATCGACCATTACAACAGATTGTAAAACGCTTAGAAGAGCGCAGTCATGCTGACTTGCATCCTAGAATACCACCGAAGCAGCAGGCATTGTTGCAAAAGCCGCATAATGCCGGACCAGCACCTCCAGGATTTAAGGGAGAGCAGTATCACAAGCTAGTTCTTCAAGGCATGGTTCTGGAAGTGAACCTACCAGACTCATGTTTTCTGATGGAAGATGGAAATGTAGTCGTCGCAACAAATGTTGTGTCCCGTGATGGAGAGATCAAGATCTGTGGCCAGTTTTTCAAGAGATTAACAAACTTCTATGCCGGCATTGTTGACACAACTGGACTGTGTACTTTCAGGGCTTCTCAGGTTTCGTCTGCAAATGCTTTGTGGACTGTTGAACAGGTCAAATCAAAGTGCTGCTGGCTTCCTTGTGGGGGTGAATTTTTGGTTAAGCCACTCTTGCACACAGGATAGCTCAGATAAGCAATATCTGCCGTAAATGTGCTCTCACTTATAGTGTTGTTTTAATGAGTATATAATCATCACGAATAAAAATAAAGTGTGTGTGCTAATGTCTTTGGCATAAATTATGTCTTTATGCTAATAACTGCTAGGGGATTTTTAAGGACATTTCTTCTGATTATAAGGCATCTGTAGGTTGAAAATTGAGGGATTAGAAAAAAGCTGCTATAAATAGAACTGTTTATATGATGGAAAGACCAAAATAGAAAAGCTGTAAGGTGAATGTCTAATAAAAGGTTAGTTTTCTTTTGCTCATGATGTGTGCTCACTACTTTAGCTCTTTAAATGAATGATAATGTGATTATCCTTTGACTTGGTGATTACACGTAACTATTGTCCCAACTGATAGATATCCCAGCTAAGATGCCGCAAGTATAAAAAGACTGAACACTCTACGCCAGAGGTACACAACCTTTTCGGGACTGCGAACCCCCAAAGCTTCTGAGTGCCCTCCGGCGACCCCCGCCTTAACTATTTTTGGAGCTCTCCGAGGCTCTGTAGCCGCCAGACATTTCCCCACAACCTCCAGTCTGTGCACCTCTGCTCTACACAAGTGAAAACCACTATGTTGTTAGCAGGTGTCTTGCGAAACGCAAGAAAGACTTGGCAAACTTTTAAATATCAATTTTAAGACCAGCAGGATCAAGGTGTCAACTGGCAGGCTTTAGAAGTCTTGAGAAACAGCCAACTGGGGTGTTTTGAACACAATACACTTTGTTTGCTTCCTTTTCTAGCAAAGAAAGAAAGCCCATGAAATATAGGGTGGTTCAAGCCACCAGGCTCGATCTGAAATGGACCGTAAAAATCAATGCCTGCACGTAACAATCTAAACTTTTCGTCAGCGGTGTATTTCACAGGTCGGTTTTTTCTTGTAAAATTATAAAGCGTAGTTCTCGTTCTGTAAAAAATAAGGCCAAGAAACTTGCCAGGGTCTACGGCGGGCAGCGACGTAAACGAGAGGGGTTCATTAGCGGGATGTGTTTGGCATTCGTATCGATAGATGGCGTCGGGAGCAGCCTCCGAAGTTGCAGCCGACCAGTGAAAGAAAGCAGACGACACGCAGACGAAATCCGTTGACAGCAAAAGCGCCACCGTTATACAGACACGTTTTTTTTACTCTAAGTTTTGCTTTTATTGTCCGCATTTATTTTTTAACCGAAGGTACATTTCAAAAAGATTATGCCCATTTTAACAAACCACGGTGGTCACGAGCCGTTGCGATAAGGAGGGAGCGCCATCTATCAATACAAATGCCAAACACATCATGAGTTTTCTTTTGTTTTAGTTTTAGTAATTTTCACCTTCATAAACCATGTACACAGCATTCATATTTTATTTGGTTTCATCAATATTCGATTCATGTTTGATTTGGTTACATCACTATTTGCACACCCCTAATCTTGTTACTTCATAAAACTTGTAGGTATGCTCTTTACTGACGGTCTCAAATTGAATTTTCTAGATGTTCTCGGTCGCCCATTTTATGAAGACTGATGACGTGGCCGTGGTTCCAACACGCTGGATTAAGAACGGGACAGCTCCCTGGCCACCGTTTAAAAATACTGCAAAAGTGAACAGTGCAGTGAGGGACAGAACGGAGCCAGGCAAAGACTGGCCAAAATTTGCCTGCAGGGTCATGTCATATACAGGTAAGCTCCGCCCTGAACGTCATTAGTTTTTTTTTTTCATTCTGAAGAGAGCACTGCTCTATTGAAAGTTATTACAATCCACACTTTCGCAGAATCTACAAAAGAGAAGGGGGTTTGGTTGTGAAATAATTCTTAAAGTACATATCATATCTGACTCCCTTTTTTTAGTTACTATGGTAACGGTACTATAGACCTCCCACTGCCTATGTTAATAGGACACATTGGTAACAGCTTGATAGCTACAAAAAGGCAGCATATGCTTCATTAGCAGAAGCTACGTACAGCTTAGA